TAGTTTGCAATATATGTACAGTGTGAAAAACTCCACATCCATGCTGCAGTATTACAGGGTTCGTACGCTTTTCTACACGGGAATTAAGTACTTTTAAGGACTTTTAAGGACCATTAATGAAAAAATTAATGACCTATGAGCAAATGAGAACTGAACAAATTCAATTAAAAATACTATCTGTGCCTGAACTTTACTTTTGTAATACCGTCCTAAACATAAAAATAGGATGCATTACTATTAAACATAACTTAATTAACATAATTATTAATAAGTTATAGAATAAAATAAAACTATGTGAAATTTATCAAGTATTAAATATTTTACACTTATAATAGTTGGACATATTAGAAAGAAGATAAGTGACATTTTATACGTTTTACTAACAGTTAGACTTATTAAGATTGTTGTTTTACTTCTAAATTAATAGTTAGCTTTATAGTAATTCAGAAGTCAAACAACAAAAATCAGCGTTATATTTACAAAAATTTTCACAGGACTAGTTTCGATGGTTTTACCGAACCACCATCTTCAGCTGCAAAACCGCATATGAACTTGATTTTTTTATGTCTCCTGTTGATTTTTTTGTCTCATTTTGGACAGGAACTAATGCAGCAAGTATGTGGAGAACAGAAACACACTCTGTCTTACACTCCATACACCTCAGTTTAAAAACTATCTAATCGAATTGCATTCTGTGAGAAAACAGAAATGGGAAATTATAGTAAAGGCTAAAATTATAAACAACTGGGTAATTTACATAATAATAACTGTACATATCTTTGAAGAATCTTTCTTCAGCACGTTTCCTTTTCATTTTAGAATTTAAATTAAAGATTTCTGTTATTCTAAAAACACTAAATTTAGAAAGCATAGAAAAAGCTGCTAATTTTATATCTTTAGTAATATGAACATTAAGAAACAATATGAAGTATATATGGTAAGGGCTGGTTACAGAGACGGTGTGGCAGAATTTTTAGAATTTAGTGACACACCAAGCAACAAAAATCTAGAAATGGCAAAACTTTTAGAATTTAGAGCAGGCACTGGAAGCAGAATTTAGGATCCGCAGAGATTGCATCAGGTGGGAAAATGCCTAGCGCCAGCTCTGTGTATGATGCATTCAGACATATAATATGAATCATTTAAATTGCCAGTTTTCAATTTCTTTACTACAAAAAAAATTTCTTTCTATAATGCCTGTCCTTCTGATAAGAATAAAAGCATTTTTGATATTTTCCATGTCTGTGTTTAGTGAAAATTAGAGAAAATAAAGGGAAGATAAACGTGTTAAGAAAAAGATTCTAGTATCAGAAATAAAACATTCAAATATTATGTTTTCTTTGTCACCAGACCTTCTCCAAAAAGTAAGAAATACATCGTAAACTTTCTGCAAAATACATTCATTATGTGTTAATAGCATGAAGACATTTTTCTGTAATTTTCTAGAATCTTGGGTCTATAAATTTTTCCTTCAAATTCTTCTAAACTTTCTCAGCTGCAATGTCTAAAATCCTAAAGAAAAATTCTGTAACAGTAAAAAGCCAGAAATATTTTGAGAAAAAATATCAGAGCGAAAAGGTGTAAAATTAATTTTATAGAGAAAACTGAATATTCTGATAATTCTGAATACTCTGAGACAATTACATTGGAAAAACTCTTACCATGAAAAAATTTAAAAAGACATTTTAAATTTTTTACATAGCTATTTTGCGTTTGCTAAAACTGTTTCTTTAATTGTTTCGTATACCTTGCTTCTTTTGCAGATTCAAAATATTGTATAATAAGTGGCCAAAATGGAACTTTATAATATGACAGAGAAAATTAAAAACGTTTTATTTTAATGTTATTTTTTAAACGTAATTTCAATATTTTACCACTATTTTAATGAAAATTATCCATGTTAGAATGTTTTAAAAAATGTCGATAAATTTCCAGATCTTGAAGTTAAAAAATTTTCTACAGAAACTGATCTTAAAATCGCCAAAATGCTGATAAGTCGCCGCATTCAGAGCCGTTTAATAAAAGAATTCACATCCCGAAAAGCCAAAAGTTGTTTAAGAGCTCTTCATTAGAAAAAATGAAATCATTTTAAAATACTTATGCTGCAATTCTTTTACTATAAAACTCGAAAATCCCACGATTTATATTAGAAATAGGAACGAATTATAACCCATTCACCCATTCAAAAGATAACCACATCTGTCAGTTGAATCACCAAAAATATTTTCCAAAATGCTAATTCACACTCAAAATGGCAGTCATAAAAAACAGACAGCTATTTCCGATGATTAAAATTAAGGACCTTCTGTCGATTTTGGCCGAAATTAAGGATTTTTAAGGACCAAAAATCGATTCTAAAAAATTTAAGGACTTTTAAGGACTCTTAAGGACCATACGAACCCTGTATTACTTGGGACAAAGTTGTAGTGAATAAATCATGACAGTTTTTCCAAAATCACTCAGACAGCACTGGTAAATAAACTATTGTGTACCATCTGGTAGTGATGGTATGAAGCTCCCCTAAGGTGTGATATTGTTAAAATATGGCCTCTCCAGCTGAAAAACATGGCAATCAATAGTTTACAAGCACTGCATCCCTTGACCTATGACTTTTGTTGACCAGGATTTATTTAGAAAGATTCATAGCACTAACTATTATTTGTTCTAGAGATTATAACAGCATACAAGTTTTATTAACTGTTAAAGCATATACTCTACAAGACTGACAGTCAGTAATGAAATCTTTCAAGCATTTTCATGGACCATCACTACATGCCTGCTTTTGCACTATTATCAGTTAGTGGGGAATCTATAAGTAACAAAGCTCCCAAACATACAGATGACCATACAAGATACTTCGAAGATGATCCCATGGATGCAGAAATTTCTGTACACATCAACTGCACTCTCTTCAATAATATGTTAAACCTGCTCACATTTTCCATATTGGTGCAATCAGAAGATGACTATCATACTATTTGTGTCATCCAGCTTTTCCCAATAATCAAGAAGTCACTAAAATAATTAAAAACAGTAGTGCTATATGAGTACCTGAAAATAAGTTGGTCATTTGCAGTTTTCATATACTAACAAAAAATTATTGCTCATAATATTCGCATTTACTCCATTTTTCTGCTGACCTGATAATATTGTTCACTTTATCCTGGGCAAGAAACAACGTAGTTCAGATTTGTTGCACTGCCACAAGTCATAAACTCGTGCCTACAGCATAGCAGCACAACATTAATGATAAGTCATGCATTTAATACAGTTAAGGTGTTTAAGTACATTGTCCTCTATTTAGCACAGTTTTATAAATCAATCATTAATTAGAATAACTATGAAATCTTTATTTAAGAAGGTAGAGAGTTTGCTTAACTAAAATAAAACACAAATCACAATTAACAGTCTTCACAAATATTTAAATTGAATTAGATTCTTTTATAAGTTTTAAATATCTTCAGGGTTCCCTATTAGGTAATAATATCAGAAGTATATTCCCAAAAGAGTGTAACATGGCTGAATAGAGTTAAACTCGAGTATAATGCAAGAACAAAATCTTTTTAAGACTTCTGCATCAAAACATAGTTAGAAGTTTCTCTCGTCAATAAATTGCTTGGCAATCGTTTGTTTTTGACGTTGCCGAAATTATTATGCAAAAGTGACACAATCATCCTACTCCTTTTATATTGTCAGATATAAAAACTTTTAATGTACACCTTGTATTTACTCAATTAACATTCAGAGCATTTGGCAACATACTTTATAATATTTTTTAAAGTGTTCTATCAGATTCCTTAAAGAAGCAACATCAAATCATACTTCAATATAAAATTTAATGAGCAAAATCTAAAGCTAATTTATCAGTTTATGCTAAATGAAATACTTCTGTTTATACTATGAAGATAATTGCCCTTCAAAAAAACAATAAATTTATACTTTGTGCTTCAAAAGTAAATATTAAAAATAACACTATTATATACATTTCGGTTACAGAGATGAAATAAGATTTTTTTTACTAAATTCCATCTCAGCATAAGTATGTACCCCCCAACTCTGGCTCTTGTTTAGAAATTACAGCAGAGCTCATATTATAATTCAACATCCACCCATAAGCAATATTTTTGCTCATACTTTGAGGATTTGACATAATTTAAATAAAGAAATGAAATAAACATTTTCATACTAAATTTTAAGTCCTAAACACAAATATGCACTTTATTTCTTAAAACTAACTCTGGTCTAGAAGTTGCAACAAAATTTTAGAATCAACACTTTCTTACTAAAGCAATTCTCTTGTACAGGAAAATGCAAGAAAAAGGATACTATGAATGTTTAAGATTTTGAAAATGCCTGTACTTTTTAACTTGTCATTTGTAGCTAATTTATGCCTCATCATTTTCAATGCTACAAGAGAAATCAAGTGACATCTCTGTACTAATTGAGCTTTTTAAATATCATTGTCAAGATCAATCTCCCCAAATTATTGAAGATGTAACAAAATATGTGTAATTCAAAAATAATACATATTATATTTAGATACAGTACATAGTAAAAACAAAAGAAGAAAAATTCTTTATGAGATTAGAATTTTTTTTTTTTTTTTAGGTTGGGCTTAATATTTCTGCTCCAATTGGACAGTGGTTGGGGGAAGGTAAAGAAGATAAAAAAATTCCTCTCAGCCATCAGCACTAAGTAATCTATTTGTCTATACTTTAGATATGTAACTAATGTGAAATATGACCGATTCTCTTCATTTTTCACAAAAAAAAAAAAAAAAAAAAAAAAAAAAAAAATTATCACATCACTTACTCATCAACATAAATGCAAAAGCTCAGTTGCTATAACTGCAACTTAAAACAGAATTTACTAAAAAAACTACTTCCAATACTAGAAAGTATGCAATATAAAGAATATCTCACACTGCAAGTCTATCTATTTGTTACCAAAAGGCTAAAAATTATTAACTAATTAAAAAATAATCAATCATAAAATCATACATCATCAGTTTTCTTTCATTTTCACCAGCAATTCGAATGTAAAATAGATCTGGGCTTTCAATCCAGCTAACATGAACTTCCATATGCTTATTTTCAGTATCTGGAGGTGGTTTTACAAAAGTAGGTTGTGGTTTTTTTTCCTCAGCTACAGGGTCGTTGATTGAGAAATTATCACAAGCTGGTTCTTCCAAAATAGGAGTAATTTCCTTCTTTGGAGAAATTTGTTTTTTCGAAGAGGATGGCTTTGATTTTCTCACTTCTTTAGAACTGAAATAAAAAAGTACAATAACTTTTTCTAAAAAATTTAAAATGTAAATTAAAACTACAACTAAATTTTTAATTAAGCTTACACCATAGCTGCCAGTCTTGAAACCTGGGAGATTTTTGCGAGAATTTGAGAAGGTTTTCAGAAAATGAGAAGGTTTTCATGCTGTGCTTCAATGTAATTTCACGGGAGCTCTACACAGACTTAAATTCACTTTATAACACATCATTTAGATTACTGAACTATTTGTAATACAATTCTGATATAAAATATGTTAGAATTTAATTAGATATTCAAAATTTAATGCTCTTTGGCTAATTTTATTTTGTAATTTTTCTTAAACTTTAACGTTGAGAAAAATCTCAAATAGGAAAGAAAAACTTTGAAATATGATGAAAATTAAATTAATAATTAGTATACATAATATTTCTCTGTGTAACCCCAAAGCCGTGCATGGTCACAGCAAGGCAAAGTTAAAAAAAATAGAAAACTGCAATGATACGAAAAAATTTAAAAGAAAAAGATTTTTAGAAAAATGTAACTGGCAAAATATATAAGGATAAACAGTGTTTTAAAAGGTGCTGAAAAGAACAGACAGTGAAGGACAAGTGTCAACAATGGGATAGGAGTTCTGTAGAAGTTTTATCTTCTGGCTTTAGGCTTTTACATGATTAGCAATTCCTTCTTTTATGATGTGAATAATAAAACGTAAATGCATTTTAGCAATAACGTTTTCTATTATAATGTTAACACACATACCTTCAGTTTAATGTTAGTTTTAAAGAAGAATCAAATATTTACGAAGCTAACAATGCTTAGATTTATGGCATTTCAGTTATATCTAAATAAACTTAGTAACATACTATATAATATACTGAAGTAAAATTAAAAATAAATATTAACTGATTAAACATTGGTTGAATCCTCATATAAAAATATATGTTTGCAGTAGATTAAGATAACTCAGATCAAATGAAATTTAATAATAAGTCAATAAAATGTATTGAGATGCAGTTCAGATGAAATCAAATTTAACAAGAAAAATTATTCTGAAATTACTCATTTAATGTAAGAGACCACTAATTTAATATTAGACTGTTGGTATAGTCTGCTGCTCAATTTTATTGAGTCAAGTAAATTAATGACTCTGACTGAATTCATGTGAGATGAAGGTATTCTACCAAAACATGACCCACAACTGATGAATTTCGAGACAAGTTATGGTACAGTTAATCAGGATGATGACTAAATTATTATACATGCTATTGTTACACAGTTTGACAATCATCATTCCACTCTTACTATAATAAAAAAGGACTTCAAGATGCCCTTCTATACTTTTCAATTTCAGAAGTCCTATTTCGCATTTGTGAACTGGCATATTTTACTGCATTGTCAGCTTGCTGATGAATTTGTATGTTCTTTTGAAATATTTAAACTGTACTTTAAATAACTACTATGTTATATTAAAACTTAGCTATTATTTTGCTTTTAACAATATTATTATGTCAGTTATGAATTTATTTGATATTAACATAACGAACAGAAAATACTAAATACATTAAGTACTGTGATAGGTATGGCCCAGGAAATCATATATTGAAAAAAATACCTGTGCAAGATTTGTTGCATAGATCATTTAATTGACACTAAATGTCAGCAGTATGAAATAATGTCTTTACGCTTATCACAGACAATCAGTGTTAGATGTGTACTTATACGATTTTGCCTCTTCCTCTAGAAAAATATGACCACCTTAACTAGAGTAGACTAATGATGCAACGAATAATGCTTGAAACTAATACTGAAAATGGCTTAAGAAAATAATATTTCCACAGATATTACACCTCAAAAGCAATTAACAGTTAAAATAATGAGCCATAGGCCAAAATTGTAGAAACTTTTCTCAAAAAATATTAGTGGGTTACAACACCACATTTTCTGGAGTAATTTTATAAAACTGAATATCAGTGGAAAGATAATTCAATCAAAAAAGTAAAACTATAACATTGTTATGAGCACCTGGATTCATAATAGATTGAATGCACACAGAACCAATTATAGCTTATAAAACTTATTTCCTAAAAGAAACACTTTACAATTCTGAACTTTTTACAAAAGCAGTCATACAGCTCTTCTCAGTATGAGAGAGCACAATCAGTAGTTACCACTTTAAACTAATCAGAAAGTTAAACATAATAAAATGCAAAGCACATTTAAAGAGCGAAGCTTGCACAGAGATTTGTCAATACTGCAAACTAAAAATTAATGCTCTCTCTGCTCTTGCATAGTTTCACCCCAACTACCAAGAAATCTACAATTTCTCACAACTGCTGGAAGGCATACACAGTTACATAGGGCCATATATGGTTACAATTGCAAAGTAATAGGACCAGTTAAACTTACCCAGGCACTGAACCAAAATGTCATTAAGTCTGATAACAAAAAGCAGTAGACAAAACTATCGCCAGCTTGGCACTACCTCACTAATTCTGTGTTACAGCCACATACCTCAATGTTAAATGGACTTCCCCGCGTAACCGTCTTTTTCTGTAGCTCTATCGGGGACTTTCACATTACATTACACAAGAGCTACTACAATTTCATTAAAATTATTTACATATACATTTGTCCCTTCCTAAAAACTGCATGGCCAGGGCAGAACAATCACTGAACAGGAGGCTGTACTTACAATTAAGGAAAATCAATGAAATACTAAAATAATTTCAATAAATAACATAAACAAATAAAATACTAAACCAATAAATAAATGCCTGAATTTACAAATTTATACATACACAGGACAATGATGTTAGTAAAATGACATTATTTACATTATGGAGACAGTATTACTACAGTCTGTTATAATAATCGACTTTAGGCTTAAAATTTGATGACTTACAAATTCAAACTATGACATCGTTCAACCTGTTTAGGATTGCGTAAGGATCATCTCAGGGTAACTCCAGTTTAGCGCAACTCCTTTCCAGACATTTGCTCCAGCATGCTATGACATGATCTTCGCTGTTTATTTCTTGGGACAAAACAGCACAAACACCCTCATTTGTTCAGCTAAGGATACATCAAGATTGTCACAAACGTTAAAGACTCCTTCAGTTTGTTAAATGTGCCCTCATATTCCTTGGTCCACAAGAAGACATCACTGGGACTAGGATACAGGCTGAAGGGGTGTCTGCCGATAAAACCGCGGCAAAAACATCGCGGACGAAAACGTTGCGGAGAAAACAACACAAGGAGAAAACGTTGTGCTACAAAACATCGTGGGAGAACACATCGTAAAGAGAAAGCATCGCAGTTCTAAAACATCGTCGTCAAAAATAAAGCGGTTAAAAAACTTCGCAGTTTAAAAGCATCGTTGTCGAAAATATCGTGGTAAAAAAATAAAGTATCTACAAATCATCGCATAACAATAACATTGCAGACATGCCCTTTTCAGGTTTTAATAATAATAAATGGATATTCCCATAAAGATTTGTGAGCCCAAGATGTAAAGAGGGATAATGTTTACTTTCACATTGTTTATTAACTAAAAAATTTTTGCTGAAAAAGTAAGAAGGAAACTTAAGCACAGAAAATTAAATGTAACTTATAGATTATGTTTTTCATGAAATATTTACCAGTAAAAACTTTATAAAAATGATTTATTAATGGCCTTTGTTAGTTAACTATGTTGGTTTAAAATTCTATTAAGTGCTATAAGTTGCATTAATTTTCTATGCTTAAGTTTCCTTCTTATTTTCTCAGCAAAAATTTATTAGTTAATAAAAAATATGAAAGTAAAAATTATCCTTCTTTCCATCTTGCGCTCACAAATCATTATGGGAATATCCATTTACAGTTATTAAAGCCTGAAAAACCATGTCTGCGATGTTATCGTCATATGATGATTTGTAGATACTTTATTTTTTAACACGATATTTTTGACGACGATCTTTTTAAACTGCGAAGTTTTTTAACCACTTTATTTTCGAAGTCGATGTTTTAGAACTGCGAAGTTTTCTCTTTGCGATGTTTTCTCCCACAATGTTTTGTAGCACGACGTTTTCGCCTTGCGTTGTTTTCTCCGCAATGTTTTTGGCTGTAACCGGCTGAAGGACTTACTGAAGCCTGGACTTACTACTACACATTCTACTACACATTCTGCAGCATACCTCTCTTTATTGCTTAGTTGTGCATTCTGCAATAACTCTGATGTTATGCTCTCCGAAGATACACAGAATGGAGGTCTACTAATTTTTTTCAATGCAGGTGGATGGAGTCATGCAACCAATTCACCTTTCCTAAAGACTTTCACCTCATCACTTTCAATAGCAACTCTCACTGGGATGATGGTCCTCAATAGGTCAACAAGTTCTCAAGCTACTAGTACTCCTTACAGACAGTTTCAGTTCTTAAGTCCTGTAAGTCCCTTATGACATACAGGAGAACTCTGTTTTCAACTACAGATCCAAGCAGCAAAAATTCTGTTCCTGCACGTATTGTGATATCGTCTTGAGCTATTATTTGATTCCGACAAATTTAACTCTGAACAAGGCTATATTCTCAGTTTGTTATTTTTAGTTTACAGTGCAGTTCATTATTATGCAGTTTGTTATTTTTATAAAGTTTGCAGTGCAGTTTGTTATTTTTAAAGGTCCAGAAAAAATTGTATTTCAGAAAGTCTAATCTGAGTTTGCAAGAATGTGTAATATCTGCCCCATATTCTGGTAGGCAGCACTTCCAAACATGATGTTGACATTTATCTTTCCATCCATGTTAATTGTATCACCAGATACAGTCTTAAGGATAACACAGGGTAGCATCCAGATCAGTTTATCTTCCAGCTGTTGAGTCAAATCTTTTCAAATGATGACACTTTAGCTTCTGTATAATGGTCATACTGAAAGGAATTTCATTTATATGTCCCACAACGAAATGTCCATTACTGCCACCACTCATAGCAGAAATCTGAAATGCTTAAAAATGGGGCTTTGTAACATCCAACAACCTCCGCTCCATGAGATGGTCACTAATTTCTTTCCAGCTTCCTTTTTGGGAAGCAGTCTTAGCTTCCATGCCTTGGTGTGCTCTGCAGTTCTTTCATACGTGGCTTTCACCACCGCAGTTCCAGCACTTTAGAGTTGGTTTGTTGCCATTCATATTCTGACTACTGAACTATAAAAGATGAATGGGTTCTATGATTTCATTCAAATTCTTTGAACAAGCGCTCAGGCAAAGCTCTATTCAAGGTAGATGATAGAAATTTTGAAGTAATGAATCATGCACACTTAAGGCTATATTATTGACACATCTTCTAGGGAATGAAATTTTGGTCCTTATTAGTTTGTTTCATTAGAGTCTAAATGCTCTCCAAGTTACACCCTTGGAATAAAGACTTCCAAAGACATAACTTGCAAGGGCATTCCTAGATCTCTTGCAAGACAGGGGATATTCTTATAATGGTTATTGAATCTATTTTTCCCAACCATGCATAAAATTTTTCTGTGATCTGTATCATACCAGCAGAAAATTACAAATCAATTTTACACTCAGAAGTTATGTAAAGTTATAAATTGATCAGTTTTTTTTAATTCCTTTTTAGTGTTTTTATAACGTTGAGAGCAAAATAATTATTCATAGTCATTAATATATAATTCAAAGAAAGGATCTGAACAATGATATTTATGCTAGCCAATTTTTTTGTGCGATATTATTAATACATAAACTGGAAAATTACATCCAACAAATTTAGCAACTGCACATTATAATAACTGTAATTAACTCTTATATGATTTTTAAAATTATATTTATTATTCACATTTTTTGGTAGATATCACAATGCTAATCAGTTTTTTTCATGACATATCATTCAATTTTTGGATGCTTTAGGTATACACTTTATTTTTGTTATTTGATCAGATGTAGCGAACCCGACTTCCAGCTCCTTGAAATTCATTAAAAAGGGGTTCAATTCTATATACTCAATAGGCTAAGAAAAATGATTCCAATCTTTTATATTTAATTACATCAGACTTTATAAAAACTAAAAATTAAGAATGGAAATAATAAACATTTCATAAAATCCTGATGAATATCTTGAGCATTTAAATGAATTACATTTGAAATTTCTTTTAAGCCATAAGTAAACCAGTAATTAGATTAGAGGTGGGGAACTTTTTTACCATGAGAGGCCACATTTAAATTAGGCAGTGATAAAGGAAGCCGCATAAGTTGATATACCTATAAATGCGATTTTTGTGAAATTATAATAGTTTTTGTATAGTTTTCTCACTTTATTGCATTATATAGAAATAATGCTAAAAACATTAAGTCATTTATTAAAATAAAAATTTACAATATAAAATATTTTTGTGTTTACATAAGGCTGATAACTTATTATAAACATTAATACTTAATAATTTTTAATTAACAACTACATATATTAAATACTGTTTCAAATAAAAATAATAAAGTAGAAATATTTTTCAATAAATTTATTACAATAATTGTACAAAAAGAATGTAAAAGTAATAATATTAAGTTATAAAAAAAACAACATAGCAACAGTATGTAAAATAATGCTAAAATCTGACGGAAAATTTAATTTAGTGAAATATTTGCATTTGTTTCTTGCCTGAAATGGATATTCAACAGCCTTTTTCCAGATTTCTATGGAATCCTTTTTAACGTCAAAAAGAGATTTGAAGATACTATCTCACTGCAACTCAAATAACTCCATTTGTAGTTCTGTAAGAGTTTTGGATATATCTAATAAATGTGGTTCAAATGGCAGTTTCATAGCAGAAGTGAGTTCGCCAAAATCTGAAAATCTTTCAGTATATTCTTCTATTAAAATGTCCAAGACATCTACATATTCATAGAATGTTTTACTTTTATATTTCTGCTCATTCAAAATTTTTGCTAGCTCCGGAAGTGTTCAGCAGATATATCCAAGCAAAAAAGCAACGTGTTGAAAAACAATAATTTTTTTCAAAAATTTTTTTAAATGCTTTGCTGCATTTCATCTATGTATGCTTCATTTTACCTAGCAGGCAAATATTAAAATTCTTTTATTTTGTCATAATATCAAGTCTTCATAAAGTTAAAACATTTATTTAAACCTGTCCTGTTGATAGCCAGAGAACCTTGCAGTACTACAGTACATTAACACAGTATATTACCTTGTCTATACAGTCAAAAGTTGTTACTTTGGACACCCATAATCCGGACCTCAAGGCTACAAACTTTCTGCGCATGCGTCGCGACGCATGTGATAAAGAATCTTATCATGTGATAAAGTCTTTAGCATGTGATAAAGTCTTACGCGCATGCGTCGCGACGCATGCGCGTAAGACCTTTACAGCTGCGAATATGCGTGTGCGCATGCGCAAAATACGTTTACGAATGCGCGTTTAATGTATAACGGATGGTATAAGCTAAGCTAAAATTATCTAATTCAGTTAATGTTGCAGTTTGCATTCTTCCTTAATCTTCGAATTGGATCCGGCTTAATATTTTTTGCAGACTGTTAGAGCAATTTTATAAAAGTAAGCTTGAACTTTTGATTATGTGAAATAGAATTTCTGATATATATTTACTAATCCGATGATGGAGTTACCAAAGGATCTACAAAGTGAAAGCATGTTTTGATGTCGATCAAACAAAAAGTGGAATTGCTGCAAAAAATTGATAAAGGCATATTCCTTTTGTTTCTCTAACCATTCTGAAATCTGTTTATCAAATTTCACGCTGCTCTGCGGCAGGGAGGGGAACGTCGCGGATGAGCAAAGAATTGGAAAGTTGATCTGTCAGCACTATCCTTATCTTCAGGGCAGATGTTTTTATTTTAATTTGGCTTATAATTTCTTACTAAATGTAGTATTTCATCATCGATGTACTCCATCTTTGATATGAATTTAAATCAAATTCCTCGTTCATTATAATATCGCTTACGATAGTGAAGAAAGTGACACAGAGGTTATTGAAAACGAAAAAATTTCGATTGACAATTAGTCGGTATTCTCGACACAGCAATTATAGGACCTGAACAGCAGAACTTTGTAACTGAACAAGAAATTATGTCTGTTTATAGAATTAAAGAGACAGTATTTTCACATAAAAAACGAAGCAACCTAAACTATTTACATTGAAAAAAATGTTTAATAAAGTAAACAAATAAATATTAAGCTTTTTTTTTTTTTTTTGGGTTAATTTTGATACCCTTTAGATCATAATTGTTCTTTATTTCATAAATCACGGTTTCATATTTTTAATTTTATAATTTCTGTATGCCATCTTACCAGATTTAAACTAATGATCTATAATCCGGAATCGCCGACAGATGCGAAATACAATCAAAAGTCGTTAATCTGGACTCGTCGGGACTTTAGATCATAATTGTTCTTTATTTCATAAATCACGGTTTCATATTTTTAATTTTATAATTTCTGTATGCCATCTTACCAGATTTAAACTAATGATCTATAATCCGGAATCGTCGAAGTCCCGACGAGTCCAGATTAACGACTTTTGACTGTATTTCCCATCTGCCAAGATTCATGATGATGCATTGTACCTATGCGAATATAGTTGAGAATGGACATAAATCTATCCAGAGGGCCTTGCAAAATGATTATTTTTGCACAATGATTTTGCCATTGCAAAATGCTTCCATTATTTAATTCTATTAATTTTCAAATTATCATAATCTAATATTAAATATTAATTAATACAAGAGCTAGAGGCCATACAAGAAACTCACAGAAGCTGCACATTGTCCACCTCTGAATTAGATAATGTTTTGCAGTGCTCTATAATACTCAATTATTAGAAGTATAAGCCCTCCCCCCAATATCCTTTGAAAAAAGTAATGTGAGATATTAAAAGCTAAGCATGGATAAATTCCATAAGTATAAATATTAACTTACTGTGGGCCACAAGAAGTAGCTAAACCTTCTTCAACTATTAAAGAATTTATACAAATTTCAAAATCTTCATCTGAATAGTAAAGAACAACTTCAGCTTTATTTTCACCTGGGATCATACCTAAAAGAATATATAATAGTATTTCCCTTCAAAAAATACACATTTCACATAAGAACTTAATTTTAGCATATGAACATAATCCAAATTCCCACAGAAACTTAAAAGTCTTATGACACAATAAATTTTCATGAGAAAGAAGGCAAAAGAAATTCAAAGTATGCAAAATTTTGAGAACTATTCATAGGAAACAACATGAGAAAAATGCATTTAAAGTATTTTAAGCTTTGTGCAGTAAATAAAATCTGAGGATAAAGCAATAAGCAGTAAAAACAATAAATCATTAATTAAACTATAAAAGCAATACATCATCTTTGACATTCCAAATGATATTGGATCTAAAGATCGATATTACTTTCAAATGAATTGCATCTGATAAACTATCTAGCTCAGCATTTCCCAACTTTCTTAGATCAGAATTATTTCCTATTTACTTCTTTATTATTTTGTTTTCTTACCCATTCAAATATTTATAAAATAAAAGATGTTGTTCAGCTCCACATTTGAATGCATAAAAGATAAATAATGTTCGAGGTCAGATATTAGAGATACTAATTTATAATTTACATATCTGCTCTTTAATATCAAGGATAATATTTATTTTCACATAGTAACTGATGATGTAATTTTACTCTATAATCTAGCATAACAAATTTCTTCCTACCGTTACTTTTAATAAAAACCAAAAGGAAAACTCAGCTTTGCATTTGAATAACTTTATGAAAGACATTAGTTAAGGTTATTTGAAGGCAAAGCACATGATGGCTTTCTGTCTAAGGATAGAGATGTATCTTTGGAGGACTTCCTAAGGGATATGGGTTCATATTCACAACATGGGTAAAACCATAAAAAATACCCATGCAGCAAATCTATTCACCTGTGTTAAAATCACAGTATCAGAGGTGTACCTGAAGCAAAATGTGAGCATGGAATTCTATGAACTTAGGTAACGGAAACACACAAACTGGGATTCAACAATTCCATTTTCAAAGCAGAACTAATTGCCCTTCTACTGCAATCTGCTATGCAACGTATACCATAACTTTTAGTGACTCAACATCTTGCCATATTGTGCACTTATAGCAGAAGCCATGTACATGCCATTTACTACAGAATGTTGTAAATTCCTTCTCCTAACCATCCTGTTCTATGTTGGGTTCCAGCCCACAAAGGGTATTGCTGGAAATAAACTAGCTGACCATCTGCCGAAGCAGGCAGCAAACCATATCCTAGATGACATGATTACAACTCTCCTCGCTAGCATCACATCTTAAGCAGACCACTCAGAAGTGCATGCTAAAGAAGCGGCAGGAGAGATGACTCACAGCCATCATGGATGCATTCCTTTTCTTTCCAAAGCCCACATTAGAGCTATGCAGTAGATCCTCTTCACTGAACACAGTAAATTCCCAGCATATGTACAATGCTTCAAGCACAGTGACACAAATCTTTGTGTGTGTGGTAGGAAAGAAACAGCAAACCACTATGTATTTGTCTGCCCACAGACATCAGGATACGATCTAAAAAACCAGTTTCCACACACTGGTCATTGAGAGCCACTAATAATAGCTGTGACGGATGTGCATAAAATAGAAGTGGCTCAGTATGGCTACTCCACCATATGCAGCTTGACCCAAACAAGTTGAAAACATTAAGTTTCATACAACAATAGGAATATAGCGGCACATTCCCCCCCAATATTCAATGCCATTACCTATATTCAGTTTTGCACATAGTTTTGTACATAGTTATTGATATGTATATTTTCAATTTGCAACTGCCAATATGTTTGCATGATATGTCCTCCTACATTAGCTTATGCACCAGCTACAATTTAATTTTGTTCATGCAATGCTGTTACAGTTTTATCTATCCCTGACTGCTGAATGTGATATGTGTGCTCAGGCTTCTGTAAATCAAAGTGCCCTGTTATCATTAACAAGTGTCTAAGTTATATTTCAGCTCGGTTAGCGATGAATGGGAACACTTGGTCTTTACCAATGGTTAACATGTATATATTTCAGTTTAACAGAACTCATCTCACTGTTATAGCCCTAGTATGATGAGTTGGCATCTAAACTCCGGATGGCTAACCCCAGTTGAAGGCCAAAACTCGAGCAGGTATCAGTATTAGTGGTTTTTGGCCACTGGCAGAGTCAACAGACATACCTGCCAACCTATGGCACACAAAATTATAAGGATTTTCTTAATATAAAAAGGTTTTTGAAATTACAAAAAAGTATATAGAGAAAATAAAATTTTTAATACTGAATTAATATTGAATAGCAACTAATTAATATCTGAAAGCTCAGTTACTAATTCTTAAATGCAAATATTACAAAAAGTATTACTTATAACTTTTAATAGAAAAACAATACTTTAAAATCAGTTTTTGTACAAACGTTAAAAGCAGTAGCAGAGTTTTTCGTTAAAAAAGAAATTTCGTAATTTTGTGCATAGCAATTGTCATGCAGGCCTGCTTTTGCTAACAAAAGTTTTTTCTAATGTTGCATTACTAATATTAGATTGAAATTAATTCTTGTTTTAGCAACAACACTAAAAACCCTCTTGCACTCTGCATTACTATGGGGAATGGTCAGGATGGCTAAGATTATTCTACACCAGTGAGAGTCAACCTTCTCCCTACTGTCCACTAATGGGCGATTTAAGCTTTCAGCGTGGGTGGGCGGTGGGTTGTCTGATAATGATCAAAGAAGATCATCATGGATAGATCTATACAGAGGGTATTCACACAATTTTGTAATGATTTTGATTTTCTCCATGAATTTAAATATTAATTTTAAAATATAAACTTGACTTGCACTAAATTGGAATAAGATTCAATTATCATATGCAGCATTAAAAATATTTTCTTTAAAATGTCGCTGAAAAATAAACAATGGATTGAACGCTATATTTTTGCGCTGTTCGAAGATAAACATGCTTATTCAATTATTAAAACAAGATGTGAAAAGCATGGTTTGAGTATTTCTATACGTAAAATAAGTAACATAATATGAAAGGAATAAAACATCAGAGTTTACATCTAACTAGGAAAAAGGCAAAAAATGCATACGCAACAAAGGTACATACAGCTCCTATTAAATCTAAAGCCACATCTCACGCTTTAAAAGAAAATCCAGCCCCTAAACAGCTATTGCAAAATCTTTAAATATCTCTGCAAGAACTGTGAACAAAATTATAAAATCTGATTTAAAGCTAATCAAAACAAAAAAACATGATTTTCATCACCTAACTCCAAAACATGTTTCTCACCGTAAGACTATACAGATTGCTACATGAAAGTTATTTGGCAGGTTAAAAATGGAAATATATAGTTACAACTGATGAGGCTTGGCTATACTTATCTGATTGCAATAGAAAAAGATCAATTTACTACCAAAACAGAGAAGAAAAGATTTAATATGTCGATTCAGAGAAAACAACGAAAGTTTTTCTAAAGGTTTATGGTTTTTACTGGATTCTCTTAAAAAGGAAAACTTAAATTAAGGAAAGTAGAGAAAAATGTAAAAATTAATTCGGATTACTATCAGAAATTTTACCACTTATTTGTAACCTTCACCGTGTTAAGTTCCATGAGGATATAGCTCTAAGCCAAACCTCTAAACCTACTGCTCTATTTTTGAAAAAAAATGAGACATGAAACCGGAATTGAAGCTATTCCCTTTAAATGCATCCCACCCAAGTCCTCTGATGTGTCTCCTATGGATTACTGCACATTTGGACTTTAAAAACAAGCTCTTTATAAGCGGCATCCCAAAACCATGGAAGAGCTCTAGAAGATTGTGAAGGAGAAGTGGAATAAAGTCAACCTATATATATATATGGCATGCATGTATTTATTTATACAGCTTTGTTGTTTGTTAATGAATTTTTCCCTCGTAAAAGTTAAATATTGCAAATTATAGTATAAATAAATACAAAATTTAACTACATATTTTTTACTAAAACTCTATTTAAAAACTTTTTTGCAGTTGTGCTATATTAAGCTACTGTGAAAGGGTGGGCGGTATAGATATTTGACTGCCTAAAATGTGGGGGGTAGGTATAAAAAGGTTGACTACCCCTGTTCTAAACACACTGTACTTTAAAATTCCATCAGTGTTTTTTAAAATCTACTGGGTGTCAGTTATTGCTGTTTTATAATTTTATCCAAATTTTCTAAATTTCAATTTACCAGATGCAACATAAACATCATCATCTTTCAAAACTAAATGAAGTAAAACTGGAAATCTATTCAAAAAAACACCTTATATCAGAAAAAGAATCATTTGCTGGAGCAGAAATATCTGCAAATTAAGCATGTAAAATCACTCATGGATGACTGGAAATTTATGCAGTGTGTAATCACATACTTGGCAGAAGTAGCTTCAAATGTGGAAACAAAGCTTATTTTTGTCTTCCTCTGAAAAGTTCTTCAGCAACTTTGTTAGCTTCAAGCCCTATTACCAAATCTTCATCTTCTATTTTACCACAAATCACATGAGACTATCCGGAAAGTTTGGTGAATCTGTCTATGGTTAGAATGGATTGTCTTACATAAAACAGCTGTTACTGTCCTTTAAAGTAATCCCTGTTGGTGGTAATGCACATCTGGGAATGGTTGTACAAGTCCTGAAAACTCCAGGCGTAGATGTCTTTACGGATGGCTTTCAGCTAGGTCATAACATTATGTTGGATATCCGAAATGCATGAAAACCTCTGGTCCTTCAGGGCCAATTTCAATTTCGGAAACAAGAAAAAGTTTGGGGAGTCGTGTGGGTGATTCGGGGACAAAACTCCCCTGTTCAACAGAAACTGCTGCGCCAGAAGGGCAGTGTGTGGCTGGGCATTATCATGAAGCAGGGTCGACTTGCCTTTCCTTAGCATACTGAGGGTGTACCCGTTTGATCCGTTGCAGCTGATGTTTCAGTATGTCCACATACGTACTGGCATTTAATGCGGTAACCTCAGGAAGGAATCTCCTGAGGGCAACTGAGTGA